TGCACTATATGCTAATATATAACTAATTTGGATGTAAATTTTAAAAAATACTGATTATCCGCCTGTCATCAAGAACAATTTAATACTAAGTAGTTATATTTTATATAACGATCTAATCTTTGAGCTAATTTCCGTGTGTTTACTAGTAAAGGGAAAGGAACTTATAAATGCCATGTTTTGAGTTTAGGAATCTCACCTTGTCTGTCTCATTGGCTCCCCATTTTCCTTCTGCTTTTTTCTAAGAGTAGAGTCTCAAAGCGAGAGAGGAGACCAGATTCTGGAGTGTAGCCAGTAACAGAATCCACTTTGGAATCAGATACTGAAGCGCTGAGACTTGTGAAGGACCCCTGGGCCCACCGACCAAGAGTGTGAAACCGTGTTGGCTCCAGCAGTCTGACTTGCTCGGGGCCAGCTAGGACTTGCTTGGGCCTCTGGAGGAAACACCGGGGCTACATTAGGCCTGGCCAACCGTTCTGCAAGAGTGGTTCCTCTGGTATCTCCTGATTTCCTAGATGGTGCAAAGTCAGACTCCAGGGTGAGCTCTAAACTTGAGACAATCCACAAGACACAGGCCCTGTCCTAATCTTTCACTTTGGGAATTTCAAGCATCTTACGTCAAAAATGTCCCTTTCCGGTTTCTGAATATGCTATTTTTTTTTTTTTTTTTTTTTTTAGAGGTAATCTCTCTAGTCGTAGGCTGATAAACCATCTTTTAGAAAAGTGCTAGAGGGTCAGACCCAGCTGACCTAGCCAGTGATCTCCCTATTGGGAATCTGCTGGTCACCTGAGCTTCTGACCACGAGGCTATAGATTGGAGGGACCCGCTCCCTAGTTTCAATTAATTTGCTAGAGTGGCTCACCGAACTCAGAGACACATTTGACGTGCCAGGTCACTGGGTTATTCCAATAGGATGTAACTCAGAAACAGCCAGATGAAGAGATGCCCAGGTGAGGTCTGGGAAAAGGCACAGAGCTCCAGCCCTGTGTGGTACCACATTCCCCCGGCTCTCCACCAGTCCACCAGCCTGAGGCTCTCTGAACCCCGCCCCCTGAGGTTTCAACGGAGGTTTCATTACACAGGCTCGATGGATTAAATCATTGGCCATTGGTCCTTGTGCTCAACCTCCAGCTCCTTTCCCCTCCCTTGGGAGTGAGGGGATCTCCCAGAGGGACTGAAAGTTCCAACCTCCTAATGACAAGG